GGACACCAACCGTGCAGTCGGCGGCGTGGGGTCCAGCCGGCTGACCCATCCCACCCCAGGCTGACCCCCTCTTCAGTCTTCTGCTGACCACCTGAGAGAGCCCCTTCCCAGACCTCCATTCTCTCTCCACGGCCGCTCTCATTACTGTCTCTTCTCCCCGTGAGCTCTCACAGCCTTTCTGTCGCTGGACACTGGGTCCAGGGTGTTGGCCTCAGCTTGCCGTCCTGGGCTCCAGCCTGGGGACTGTCTGAAGCCAGCGAGCTGGGACGCTTGGATGGTAGGGCTTGGCGTTCTCTCTCCTCTCCCAGGCGTGGCTGTGCTTTGTGGCCTAATTTCCAGTGACTTTAAAAATGGAACTTCTTATATTTTGTCTGTTCTTTTAGTTGTTGTCTGATTGGTTTTTTTTTGAGTGGTGAGAGGCTTCAGGTGGGGTTTCTCTTGCTCCACCTTTGCTAGAAGCTGAAGGCAGCCGTTCTCATGGTCTTAGTTTGACTTTAATAGTGAGTGCCAACCTACGTTCCAAAAGTATTTTTCCTACTGAATGAGAGCGCCTTTGTCTTCCCACTCCCCCAGGTACCACACACTTTTTCTTTTCTTTTTCTTCTCTCTTTTGTTTCCCTGAATGGTGTGTGTGTGTGTGTGTGTGTGTTTTATCAGAGATACAGGGAGAGAGAGAGGAAAAGTGTATTATCCTTCCCTGGGGATGCTGTGCCGTTCCACAGTCCTGTCTTCCCCATCTTCTCTCAGGACCTTGGGCACACAAGCACACATGCCTGGCGTGTCTTTCAGGTACCATGTCTGACTACTGAGGGTTTGTTAGAATGCCCAGTAGTCTTATTACACTAGTTGCAGAGCTGAGACTGCCTTTAGTTATCACATCTGTCCTCTGGGCTTCAGGAGAACTGTGGGGTGAGAGGCTGACAGCACAGCCACTGAACCCTTTGTGCCCTCATGTGTTTTGAGAAGTCACCTCTAAGCCATGACCTGCTCTGACTCCTGGCTGTGCATCTCGTTGCACAGTACACACCACAGCATCACAGGATGCTGCAATCCTTTTATTTTGAGGCCTGTCTTATTATTAGCTTTTCCATGACCTCTAGAGACTCCTCTTATAAGTAATCAATTAAGTGTCTGGGTGCCTGGAGGTAAATAGGATTTGGGGATATACATGCTTTTTTTTTTTTTTTGGAGAGGTTTTTGCTGTAGGGTGTGTGTGCTGGCCCGAAAAACAAAAAGACAGAAAGCAAGAAGTTACCCCTCAGGGGGGATGAACATACCGTAATCCCTTCTCCATTCTCCTCTGGATATCTTGGACACGCATTCACAGGAGCTGGGCATGAGTTTAAGCCACCGCATCCAGGAGTTGAAGCGCCGTCAACTACGTGGGAGTCCAATGACATAGCCATTTCTCCATCTGCTGGCCCAGGGATGTATGCTCTTATGTGTTTTCCATTATTTGTACTGGACGCCAAATGGTTCCCCTGGCCCCAAGGGTAGTTCTGCTCACAAGAATCCTTAAAAGTGAAAACGCATCCAAAGTAGGGGAATGATAATACAGAAAAACAAAAGAGATCTCACATGATCTAAGTTAGGTTCCTGGAAAATGTCCCACTTGGGAGGATGTAAAGGAGATTGAAGGGACTCAGTGAACATGCGTTTGGGAGGATAGAAGCAGATTGAAGGCATTTTCCAGGTGGGTAAACATTTCTGCCAATATATACATGATGATGTGTTTGTGTGTGTGTATATTTTGCCTTGAATATTGGAAGGTGTCTAGGTCAGGAATCTAGAGTTACTTCATGTAAGGAAAGGATAGGGAAACTACCTATGGTCCTGAACATCAAGGGCCATTCTGAGCTCTGAGAAACTCCTAAGTGGTGTCTACCATTTTCCAACCTCAACGTGAAGCCCCTACACTTTTAAGATTTTTGGATATCTTGTGTTTATTCAAAGACAGACTAGCGAGTGAGTTTGACGCTCTGAGTATAGAAATGGCCAGAGACACATAATAGTTTGTGGACATACTATGTGACTTGTCACACTGACTGCAGTGATTTCACTGAAAACGGAAGTGAGCAACTGAAATATCTGATGCTCCAAACAGGATATGAAAAAAATGTTGAAATTTTTTTAAAAATGATTTAATTTTTTATTATAATTTAATTTGACCAAAGAGACAGAGAGCAAATGAGAAGGGAAAAGTGAGAAAGCAAGCTGCCAGGCCTGGGACCATGGCCAGCCATGTGGGAGTTCAGCACCTTAACCACCATGCCACCTGCTAACTTCCAAAAAAAATGTTGAAAGTT